TCACCCCCCTTATCTTTGGCACGCCCCTCGCACGTTGCGTGGTCCCATGGGGAGTTCCACCGGGTGCCCCATGGGCTGTGTTCGCATGCCCCCCCCCCACTTTGGCACTCCCCTCACACGTTTCGTGGCCCCATCGGAAACACTCCACAGAAGGCGCGAGTGGCTGCGTTCGCATGCCGCCACTTCCCCCACTTTGGCACACCCCTCACGCGTTTCGTGGCCCCATAGGGAGCTGCGCATGGCTGGGCTTTTAGGTCCAGGACGGAGTCACGCGTGCCTGCGGGTCACGAGATGAAAGGTGGGGGCATCGTTCGCAGCACAGCGCTGGCGAGGCGTGCCGCTCCCCGCCCCACAGTGGGAGGGAAGTCAGCACTGCCACTCGCCCTCGCGATATGTTACAGTACATACTGGGCCTACTACTAATGCCACTGCTAATGCTACCGCTAGTGCGGATCTTTTGGCAATTACACATGCCCATGCAAATGCTGACGCTAATGCTCATACATCTTTTCATTTATTAATATTACCATTATCGCCAGTACTAGTACTAATAGATGGGAGTAACGCTAGATTTAATCTTGGTACGAATACTAATGTGAATGCGAATGCGCATTCGACTATTATCACTATTTCCAATACTTGTCTTAAGACACGCATTAAATTCACGATCGCTGCTAAGACGAATGCTAGCACTAATATTATCATTAACCGTACTATCAATATCCATACGGGTACCACTCTTCATACTCATCTTATTACGAATGTGAATGCTGACGCGCTTATTATTAGTGATACTTGTCCTGATGCGGGTGTAATACTGCAAATGCTAATATTCATATTACTACTACTGCTACTACTGCTACTATTGCTACTACTACTACTACTACTACTACTACTACTACTACTACTACTACTACTACTACTACTACTACGACTACTCTTGCTACCAATATTCATACTATCGTTATTACTGCGCATAGTACAATGAATACGAACACCAACCTTAATCCTGCTACTACCAATGCTATGATGGTTCGCACTGTTACAACACCAATACGAACATTCGTACGACTACGAACACTACCACTAATTCGTCGGCTGAGACTAATGCTAATTATAGTATTACTACTCATACTAACATTATTTATTTTTTACTAGCACGATTATTTCTAATGCTCATATTCATCATACTGATCAGCATAATGAGTTTACTGTTTATCATTTGTAGGCGTTTCGATATTTGGATTATTATTCTTACACCTACTGTTTTTAGTATTAACGCTACTACTAATACGCATTCTGATTCCACTGTGGCCTTACGTGTACCACTACGTGTGCTACTAACTCTAATGCTAGCAGTCGTACGTATACGAGCGCTATTGCTACTGCTAAACGCATTGCTACCAATACTATCATGACGACACTGGTATCACGACATATAGATTTGTCCAACGGGAACTATGACGAGTTCTACTGCGAATGCCAAGGTTCATTCTAGTACGAGTTCTCCTGTTTCCACAATGCTTTCCGTATCATTGCTGCTGCCAGCGTGGGCATTGATACGGCTGCTTCTACGATTACTACAGCTACTGCTGCTACTATTATTGTTATCGCTACCACCACGATTACTACTACTACTACTACTACTACTACTACTACTACTACTACCACTACTACTACTACTACTACTACTACTACTACTACTACTGCAGCGACGGCTACCACTACTGCTACTACTACTACTACTACTACTACTACTGCGACTACGATTACTACTACTACTACTACTACTACTACTACTACTACTACTACTTCTGCTACTACTACTACTACTACTACTACTACTGGTACTACTATCTTACTACTGCCACTACCACTACTACTAGTAATACTAGTGCCACCACTACTACCACCACTACTACTACTACTACTACTACTACTTTTACTACTACTACTACTACTACTACTACTACTACTACTACTACTACTACTACTACTACTACTACTACTACTACTACTACTACTACTACTACTACTACTACTACTACTACTACTACTACTACTACTACTACCACTACTACTACTACTACTACTACTACTACTACTACTACTACTACTACTACTACTACTACTACTACTACTACTACTACACTAACAACAACAACAACAACTACTACTACTATTATTTTATTATTATTATTATTATTATTATATACACATCTGTACACACACACTACTTCTGCGACTACGATTGCGACGACGGCGACCACTTCTTCTTGTTCTACTACTACTACGCCTTCTACTTCTTCTTCTATTACTACTACTACTGGTACTGCTGTTACTACTATTGCCATTACTGCGTCTACGAGTGCGACTATGACTACTACTTCCAACACTAGTAGTGCTGGCTCTACCGCTACATTGCTACGACCACTATGACTATGTTTCAGATGTTGGTACCGCTGCTCATCAGCGGGAGGCCGATTCCAGATCGGGCGGGCCACGCATTCGTTTCTGAGAGGGCATACGCACACAACCTTTACCGGCAAGCTGCTTGGGGCATGCACTTTCGGAGGTCCGCTCGGATTTTTCGCGTCGGCGGTGGGAGCCCCCCCTGGCGGTGCCTTCGGCGCCGCCCCTGGCGCGCTCCGCGCGCCGGGCGCGGGGCCAGCGCCGATCCGAGACATCCGCGTGAACCGCCGAGTTTTACGTTTATGCAGACTTCTCTTCCTCTGTCCTCTCCGATCTAATCGTTTTTATATCAGGCGCCTCGTTTTGAGAGTCGGGCCTGCGCGGTACTGTTTCCCGATGGTAGTTTGAGCCAGCGCCCAGAGTCCGATGCGTGCGCTTGGCTTCCGTATCATTCTGGCACTGATTCGGACATGTATGTCTAGGCTCCTCAGCCGCGGTTCAAGTATTGGCTTTGCTTCGCCATGTGCAAACACTCTTTGACGAGACCCGTCCTCGTCCAAACAAGTGTACAAGTTGGTGGAAGCGTCTGGTGCGCGTGGCTCGATGCCAGCGAACCATTTTCTTTGAGCTCATGTGCCTCGTTCTGCCCCCTTTCTTTGTCTGCTCGTCTAGCACTAATCCCGTGTCCTCCTCGTCCACCAGCTCCTCGTTGACTCCCTCGTGGGTCTCTCTCGCGCGTGAACTCGGCCTGCAAGAGCTGTGGCCATGACCGGCGACCCCGAGAGGGTGTTGCACAGCGCTGGATCAACTTTTTGAGGCGAATTTTCGAGGCGAGAGTAGTGGGGTAGCATCTTGTTCCTGACGCCTGAGTCTTGCTCGCGCTGCTCTCTCCACGTGTCTGTGCAGCCGTGAGGCTGGCGCATCAGAAGACGAATAAAACTTCCGAAGACAACGACACGTGACGATCTATTATTTTTTTTTGGGGGGGTGCGATCCACGATCTATTGTTCCCAACCGTCCTGTGGTGTTGGGTCCTCGTTTTGAAGAGACAGCGCCCCGCGTCCCACCTCCTCTCCTGCTCCTCCCCCTCCTCGCCCTCCTCCCTCCTCCCCCTCCTTGCCTCTGCTCTCGGCACACCCCTCACACGTTTCGTAGCCCCATAGGGAGCTCCACCGAAGGTCCCAGTGTCACAGCCCGCATGCGGTTCCCCCACCCAGGGCAGCGTTTCGTAGCCCCATAGGGAGCTCCACCGAAGGTCCCAGTGGCACAGCCCGCATGCGGTTCCCCCACCCAGGGCAGCGTTTCGTAGCCCCATAGGGAGCTCCACCGAAGGTCCCAGTGGCACAGCCCGCATGCGGTTCCCCCACCCAGGGCAGCGTTTCGTGGCCCCATAGGGAGCTCCACCGAAGGCCCCAGTGGGGGTGTTCGCATGCGGTTCCCCCACCCAAGGCAGCGTTTCGTGGCCCCATAGGGAGCTCCACCGAAGGCCCCAGTGGGGGTGTTCGCATGCGGTTCCCCCACCCAGGGCAGCGTTTCGTAGCCCCATAGGGAGCTCCACCGAAGGCCCCAGGCCCATGCGGTTCCCCCACCCAGGCAGCGTTTCGTGGCCCCATAGGGAGCTCCACCGTGCGCATGCGGTTCCCCCACCCAGGGCAGCGTTTCGTAGCCCCATAGGGAGCTCCACCGAAGGCCCCAGTGGCACAGCCCGCATGCGGTTCCCCCACCCAGGGCAGCGTTTCGTGGCCCCATAGGGAGCTCCACCGAAGGCCCCAGTGGCACAGTTCGCATGCGGTTCCCCCACCCAGGGCAGCGTTTCGTGGCCCCATAGGGAGCTCCACCGAAGGCCCCAGTGTGGGCAGCATGCGCATGCGCCCCCCCCCCCCCCACCCAGGGCAGCGCTTCGTGGCCCCATAGGTAGCTTCCCCGAAGGTCCCAGTTGCGCAGTTCGCATGCGTCCCCCCCCACCCAGGGCAGCGTTTCGTGGCCCCATAGGGAGTTCCACCGAAGGTCCCAGTGGCGCAGTTTGCATGCGTCCTCCCCGCACCCAGTACAGCGTTTCGTGGCCCCATAGAGAGCTCCACCGAAGGTCCCAGTGGCGCAGTTCGCATGCGTCCCCCCCCCGCCCAGTACAGCGTTTCGTGGCCCCATACGGGGCTTCCCCGAATGCGATACCCACAACTGCATATGGTTGGGTCCTTCGCCAGGCTAATTTTTTTTGGGGGGGTGCGATCCACGACATTCGATCCACGAAGTGGGCCCGCCCAAGATGCGCCGGGCGAAGCGGCCTGGGGGCGCAGTGGTTCGGGGGCGAAGCGGTCCGTGGGCGAATCGGCGCGCGGGCGAAGCGGTCTGGGCCGAAGCGGCCCTGGCGGAGCGGTCCAGGAGGGAGGCGGAGATGGAGGGAGGGATGGAGGAAGGGAGGGAGGGAGGTGGAGATGGCAGGAGGAGGGAGGGAGGGAGGGAGGTGGAGATGGATGGATGGGAGGGAAGTGGAGATGGAGGGAGGGAGGTGGGGGTGGCAGGAAGGGATGGAGAGGTAGCTCAGTGCTGGGCCCTTGCTCTCCTCGGCCCTCCCCCACCCAGCCGCCCTCCTGCTGGTCAGACGGCGAGGGAGGCACTGGCGGAGTCATCAGTCCGTCCCTCGGCGCAGGGCGAGTTGAGAGAACGGCTGCGCAGGATGGGTCCCTGGACTCCTCACGGGGTCCAAGCGCACCAGTTTTCCAAGCTGCGTCCAGCCGTGCCGACGAGGGCCCCCCCTTCGAATGCCAACCGCCGTCGTCTCGGCTCGCCCTCTTGAGCCCCCGCAAGGTGTTCGACATGGACAGGCACGTGGCGTGCTCGGGCACCCCGAGTCGCAGCGCCAACCTCAGGGCGATGAGGAGCCTGCTGTCGAGAGAGAGCCGTGACAGTCTCTGCTTGCAGTAGTGCACTTTCGGGCAGGGGTGGGAGGAGGGTGAGAAGAAGGAGGAGGAGGAGGATAATCGTCCGAGGAACGAAAAGCTGTATAAGCATGCACTTTCGGAGCTCCGCTCGGATTTCTTTGATCGACGCTGGGACCTCCAGAAACGATGCCCAGGGGAGTTGTTTCGAGGAGAGGTGTCGGCGTGTGAGTATATAATGAAGCAAAGCGGCCAACAATTTCGGGAGTCTTCTGGACTCTAAAGGGGCCCTCTTAGGGCCCTAATGGGGCCCTCTTGGGCCTCTCTTGGGGCCCTCTTCGGGGTCCCTGGGGGTCCCTCTTGGGCCATCTTGGAGGCCATCGATGAAAGAAGTGGAGTTCTTCATGTTAGCCCCCCCCGTCGGGGCCCTCGAAATCGCCTCTTTGGGCCCTCTTGGGGCGCTCCTGGGGCGCTCTTGGGGCTGTCTTCAAGGCCATTGGTCAAAAAGGGCCGTCTTGTAGCCCTCCTGGGCCCCTCTCGGGGCTCCATTTGGCGGTCCTGGAGCCACCTTGATGCGCCAGAAGCCCATCGGAAGCGAACGGGCGAGAATGCAAGACACATGAAGTGTCCGCAGGTTTTGGAAGAATGTTGGCTTCTCGGGGGCGTCCTTGGGGGCTCCCTGGCCACCTGGAGCCGTCTTGTGGCTGTCTTGGGGCCTCCGGGAGGCATGCTGGAGGCTATCTTCAATCATCTTGGGCTCTCTTGAGCGATATTTGAGGCAACCTTTATGTGGGGGATCTTGGGCCATCTCAGACGCTCCAGCGACCCGCGATCCCCTCCCCTCCAGACCCAGAGAGGGGTAGGAGGAGAGGTAAACCTCTCCCCGAAGGGGAGGGAGGTTTAATAACTAACTCGCTAAGCCACCCACGCGCAAACGGCTGGCGGGATCTGTCTGCCCGCGCGGGGTATACGTGTATCCAAGCGCCTTGTGGAACATGCGTCTCCAGTGCCAACACACACACACGCCTATACATTTATGTATGTATGTATGTATGTATGTATGTATGTATATATATATATATATATATATATATATATATATATATATATAACATATACACATAGACGCAGACGGTGCGTGCCTCTGGGAAGGAGGTTGAGGAGGAGAAGGATGAAGAGGAGGAGGATGAGCAGGAGGAGGGGGCGGAGGAGCAGTAGGTGGAGGGGAATGAGGAGGAGGAGGCGAAGGAGGAGGATGAGGAAGCATAACGAGGTGCCCGATAAGGAGGAGGAAGAGGATGATGATGATGATGAGGAGGAGGAGGAGGAAGAGGGAGGAGGAGGAATGATGATGAGGAGGAGGATGAGGAGGACGAGCAGCAGGAGCATGATTAGGAGGAGGAGCAAGAAAAGGAATAGGATGGAGGAGGATGAAGAACACGACGACGACGACGGCGAAGACTGACGGGGCCATCTTGGAGGCCTCCGGGGCCCTATTGGGGGGCATTTTTGGAGGATTTCGGGGATCTCCTGTGGCCCTCTTGGGATGGTCTTGGGCCTTCTTGGGGCCATCCTGGAGGGCTTAGATGGCCCCCTTGGGGCAATCTTGGAGGCCATCGATCAAAAGGGGGCAGTCTCAGAGCCCTCCTGGGCCCCTTTGGGGCTTTCTTGTGTGATCTTGGAGCCATCTTGCGGCGTCAGAAGCCCATCGGAAGCGAACAGGCGAGAATGCAAGGCACATAAAGTGTCCGCCAGTTTTGGAAGAATGTTGGCTTCTCGTGGGCGTCCTTGGGAGGATCCCTGGCCACTTGGAGTCGTCTTGTGGCGGTCTTTGGGCCTCCGGGAGGCATGCGGGTGGCTATCTGAATCCATCGCGGGCTCTCTTGGGCTATCTCTGAGGCAATGTTGGATTATCTGGGGCACTTTTGGGGTCATCTCGGGCCATCTTGGATGCTCCAACGCGTCGCGCCCCTCCCCCTCTCCCCCCCCGCCCCCCTCCCTCCAGACTCAGAGGGATGGGTAAGTAAACTCTTCCCCGAAGGGGACGAAGGGGTCAGGAGAGCCCAACGGTTGGATTCAGATCCCCTTTCAGAAAATCCTGCATTCTTCCCCCTCCCTCTCCTCAATTTTCTTCTTCTCCTCATCCTCCTCCTCCTCCCCCGCCTCCTCCTCCTCCTCCGTTGCGCCCGGCCCCGGACTAAGCTGAGGATGAACAACTCCTCCCCCGTCCCCTTCCCCTGCTGGAGTGAACGCACGTTCTTTTCCAGGGCCTAACTCCAATATTACACTTCCCCCTTCCCTTCTTCGTATCCGTGTCCTCCTTCTGCTTCTCCTTCTGCTTCTCCTTCTCCCTCTCTTTCTCCTCCTCCTCCAGAGTGGATCGAGGGAGGGGGGGGGAAGAGACATAGAGAGAGATCGATTTATTGATCGATCGATCGATCGATTGAGAGAGAGAGACCTTGAGAAATAGAGAAGGAGAACGAGAGAGAGAGAGAGAGAGGGAGCGAGACGCAGAGTGAGCGCGCGAGAACGAGAGAGAGAGAGAGAGTGAAAGAGCTAGACTAGTGGAACAGAGGGCATGTCCAATAGGAGACTTAGGCGGAAGCAGAGGAGAAGGAGGAGCAGGACGATGCGGATGATGATGACGATGATGACGGTGGTGATGATGTTGCCGAGGATGTTGACGATGATGACGATGATGATGACGATGCTGCTGCTGATGATAATAATGGTGGTGGTGGTGGTTTTGATGATGATCATAATGATGATGAGGAGGAGGATGAGGATGACGGTTATGATTATGATGATGATGGTTGTGGTGATGGTGATGATGATGATGATGATGATGATGGTGGTAGTGATGATGATGATGATGATGATGATGATGATGATGATGATGATGTGATGATGATGATGATGATGATGATGATGATGATGATCATGATGATGCTGATTATGATGATGCTGGTGACGACGATGATGAGAATGATGACGATGACGATGACGACGTTGATGATGTTGATGATGATGACGATGCTGATGCTGATGCTGATGATGATTTGCTGA